AAACCACATTGGAAAATAACATCATACAGTGCAAAAATGAAATCTCAACATAAAACTACTGATAATGAACAGAATTATAAACTTTCGACAGCGCAGAAACCAAAATTCCATGGAAAGTATTTTTAAAGTGTCTACTAGAATATTCACTATTAAAAGATTGTTAGGAGGAAAGAACAAATTGAGATTTTAGTAGAATGGAGTCTTTCTTTACTTTCAAAAAAATAAAAGAAAAATAGAACAGTAAAAACGACAAGCATAATATTCACCGCTAAGTCTTTTTTCTAACATTCTTAGCAAGCTAGCAATGCATACCCAAACTTGCATAGATCTACAACTATCATTACTTAATTTTTCACTCATACGAAACCTAAAGAATGACATGAGAGTATTTACTTCTTGTGCATTTATATTAATGACTCAAGTACTGGTAGCACAGCGCCCTATGCATCTAAACACTAACAAAATGAGCAAGCAATAGAAAAATGAAGAGTATAAAGTTACCAACCTGATAAGATAACACCTTGATCCACGCAGTTCTATCACCGCCCAACCAGGCAGTTGAAAACCACGATACCCTGGATAATGAGCCTTGTTGTCTAATTCCCAGCTCAATTACTCTAGCAGCATCATGCAGTGACTGGACAAGTCCAGAACCGATCTCTTCACCTTGCATAGATAGATCTAGTTTTAGTCTCATTTCCTCCATATCACTGCTAGTAGATGGTCCGGAACTGCCATTAACTGACACCCCATCCTCAGCAGAAGCAAAAGGCAATAGGTGTAGTATTCTTGATGTTCGAGGAGTAATCCTATGTTTCCTAGAATCGGGTGATGTGCGGTTAAGATCACGATTTCCACCCTGTAACAAATAAAGTTTTGTTTTGCATTTTCTCCTTGTATTGCATTGATTGTATATCAGGTGATTCAAGCCTGCTACTTTCCTGTTGAAATAATAGTTTCTCACTGCTTTAACTGAAGGCCATGGACTAGAAGAACTGAAATAAAAGAGCACAATCAGCCAAAAGTTAATGTAACTTTAAGAAGAAATTAATATTGAAAGATCCAATGGATCTAAGATATTGTGGAAACTCAAATTTAAGTAGTATAAGAATGATAAACTAGACAAGGACTTTCTCTGCTAGACATGTACTAAATCAGTGATCAGTAATCCTCTGTATCTATTTACGACACAGTCTTTCAGATCAGTGTATGAATCTTCAATTTCCAGATCAATGTATTAATCATCAGATGTCATTCTGGATAAACGGCTGAAACTTCAACATTAATTCCGTCATTCAAGATGTCACAATTGCAACATTACTATTTCCAGAAATATTAATGCAGGGAAGTGCCACAAGTAGCTAGTAAATACTAGCCACGATCCAAATTAGGAATAGCAGATGTGAAGGTTTTGGGGATGAAGTGAAGAACAATCCACGTCATGGTGTGGTGCTTACTAGATAATGCATCATGCCCTCTATTCTACTCCACTTAAATAACAAACTTGGTTCACCGATCAGGATTCAAGCCCGTGATATGTGCCTAGCACAAATTCACCGTTGTACTACCTTTGTCATTGAAACAAAGCCTTAAAATCCGAAATGTGGTGCTTATTAGTAGACTGTTATGAATCACCTTTGCTTATTCCTAAGCTCGTTATTAGCTCATAATTGGAGTGAGTAACAGATCCAAGTATTCCTATAACCAAATGAAAGAGGAAATGTTTTCAATCTTAAATGCCTGCTTTACAATGATATACTTCCATAATATTCACACACAAAGGACCTTAAAAATTAGCCCCTATCATATCAAGTGACTCAAAACAATCCTCCAGCACAGCATCACCATCACAAATAGTAAGTTTTCATCATCATCCAACCAGAAGCGGATTTAGGATTTAAACTCTATGGGTTCGAGCTTTAAGGTTCTTAACATTGAATCCGATTTATTTTTAAACTTATGGATTCATATATACTATTTATTACAATTTTATTGAATTTATACACAAATTTATACTCCGCTTCGAAAGTATTAGGTTCAGGTGAACTACAAAGTTGCATCCGCCCCTGCATCCAACTGTACAGCAGGGCAGGAAGTAAAATTGATGAATTTTGGTTCATAATTCCTGCCAGAAATTTCTGGCTGAACGGAGCACTTCGTAGCCGCAATCTTCATAACAATTTAGGTTTAGCATAAAAATTCCTACAGAGTGATAAAATTCCAGCTTTATTTGTTTAAGCACTACAATAGCTATTAAAACCATTTTTCAGCTGTAAAATCAATTAAATCCTCATTATTCTTTTATCAAACAAATCGGTCATGAATTATACTATGATTCAGCGAGTATTTCAATTATTAGCATATGATGATAACAAACAGCTATAGAAAACTGAGTAGATACAAACAGTAAAAATTACCTAGAGCAAGGAGGATACTGATGCTGGAGCTTCAACGACATTAGCGTCGAACGAAGAACAAGAAAAACAATTAGTGAGAAAATTCAAGTTTGAGTGTTTGGGAGGAAAAGAGAAAGAAATGGTGGGAAATGAAAATGGTGGTGCAGTTTGTGGACTAGCAGGGGAACTGAGGTGGTTTATCCGTAGACGTGGGGAGACGCTTGATCACATAACTCTGTATGCCTAAATTCTTCACAAATTTAAATAGTCAATTACTCTTAGAGGGTGTTTGGCTAAACTGGTCAAACTGGCTTATAAGTACTTTTTGGCTTATCTACGCGTTTGGTAAAATTAAAAGTGCTTATAAGTTAAGTGCTTATAAGCTAAAAATAAGCCAAAAGCCATAAGTTGGTCTCCCCCAACTTATCAAATTTCAGCTTATAAGCACTCTAGGTTTGACCAAAATAGTTACTATTCTATCCCTAAAATACTTCTTTTTAGAACAAAATTCTTCGTATATCCAATTCTTCAGCTGCTTATTATTAATTTCAGCACTTTTATCCAAACAAGTAACTGCTTATTTTTTAAATCAGCTCCAGCACTTAAAAGTGTTTTTCAGCACCTAATGCTTATAAGCTACTCTAAATCAGCTATGCCAAACGGGCTCTTACTCTAAACATTATTATAAGGGATAAAAGGTCAAATTTGCCTGAATTATTGAAAATTGATAATTTTGTCCTCCATCTATTTTTTTAGGAGTGCTATCGTCACCAGTCAAGTGACTCAAAAAGTCACTAATGCAAAGGCATATTTGGACCAAAAAACTATTGGCAAAATTATCTCATCTCAAATAGTTTAGTTATTTTTACTTTTTTTTTCTTCGTAAAATCAGTCATTGATACTTGAATCAGGGCAAACTGCTTACATCACACCCTCTTAGGTGTAGCCTTTTCCCGGACGATGCGTAACGCGGAATACTTTGAGCACTAGACTGCTTTTTTATTAGGCAAGATAGGAAACAAAATCCCGCTTCGGATAGCTTATGATTTGAGCATTTTTTTGTTTTAACTATATTTTTATTCGAATTGGTGCAATTTTTAGAATAAAATTATTCCATTTCAAATAATTTAGGAATAATTTTTGGCCTATTTCCCCCTTTTTTATAATGAAATAGAAAAATACAAATAATATCTATATCTATATATATATTAAAGCAAGAAAGTTTGCATTTTGGTTAAGTAAGTGTCAAGCTACTATAAAGCCACTTGGCAATCTTAAAGAGTTCGTGGGAGATTGTCAAATAAGGAAATATCACTTAAGAACTATATATGGAATTCCATTTATGAAATTAAGTAACAAGTAACAATATACAAAGAACAAAAAATAGAGATTTTTTTTTTTTAAAACAAATAATATAATTGTAGATATAGAGAAGGATTAGACATTTAAATTTGATGTAAGAAAAATTTTTGAATTATTACGAGAAAGAACATATTATATGGATAATATTACGCAATTGAAAACATAATTTATAAACCTAAAATTTACAACATTTACAATGAAATAACGCCAAGCAACAAATTAACAATATAAAGATGTAGTTAAAATTGTCATGTAGTTAACTTTTAGAAATTGGAATGTCAAAATAGAAATATTTTATGAAAGATAACAACATACCAAATAAGGGTTCAAGTTGTAGTAAAAGAGTCATGTCGTAACCAAAGAATCATTCACATTGTGTCAACCTTTGTGCTTTGACATAAATACGAGTTATTATTTCACTTTTTGGATGTTTTTATGTTCCAATGGCACCAATGAGAATGGTGCAAAAATAAAATTATCACTACAAGATTTGAGAAAATGTTAGTCTTTTTTCATGTACTGTTTCGTAATTGATATCTAATTATCTAGAAGGTTTAAATTCTAAGGTTATTTACATATCATTCAAATAATTCGGATATTTAATATGGTTAATGTCAAATACCAAAATAGAGTCATACTTAGAAAAATAAAATAATGGCTAAATAATTTTTTTAATTTTTAGATAGCCGACTAAAATGAGTTTCGAATTAAGGATAATATTTTCACTTACATTATTATAAATTAAATTATTATTTAAAAATAATGTTTTAGAAACTGAAATTTTAAAATAGAAATAATTTTTGAAAGATATCAACACACAAAATAAGAGTTCAAGTAGTAGTAAAAGAGTCAAGTCGTATCTAAACAGTCCTTCATAGTCTCAACCTTTGATTGTTTTATCATAAATCTGAGTTATTATTTTGCTTCCCAACTAATTTTAGGATCCAATGACACCGACGAGAATGGTATCAAAAAAGAAAAATAGAATTATATGTAGGAAATTTGAGAAATAGTTAATATTTTTCATGTAGTGTTTCTTAATTAATATCTAATGATTATCTATATTTAATAGAGAAAGTTTAAGTTTTAAGATTATTTACATGTAATTCAAATAACCCAAGTATATTACATGATTAGTGAATTAGTACTAGTGAATTAGTAGTGCAATAAAAAGTCAATTCAGAATTTCAATAATCTTCATCCTTTCTCTTACGTCATAAAATAAAAATAAAAGGAAAAAACTTGTCTGGTTTCCCCTCCTCTTTCTTCTTTGTTTTTCACTCTTACTGCATCTTCTTAGCTTCCTCTGAAGGGCTTTAGGTCTCACAATTAATCTAAAATTAGCATCTTTCGTTCCTTTGAACAACAATTTGTTTTATGGAAATGAGTAGGATGCCAAACTGAACTGCAATTTGTTGGCTGGTGATGATTATAATATGGTGCATAAATGTACTTCACTTTTCAGAAGATTGCACTTTCTCGCCCCTAATTCTTCCTCTACTCCTGCCGGTATTGGTAATAAATGCTTTTTTCCGATTTCTTATTCTAAATTTTACTGCAAGGTTTTTAAGTATTACACATCCTATGGGCAATGGGTGCATTCAGTATTAAGTAAAAATGTTTTTGTGGAAAATGTCTTATTTTCTAGTTTTTGGTTAGATATAATTTAGAAAGTAGGTGACATATGGTAATCATACAAGACTGAGGATTTGGGGGGGGGGGGGGGGTTTGTATATGATAAGTATTGTGGTGACATTTTTTTTTTTTGGACTAAAGATTGAAATCAGTCTCTAGGTGTTCGTTGAAGCAAGTTATATGGATAAAAGTTGTATATTTGGAAAGGAAATGACTTTGCCCAAATACTGAAGGAAATCATTTTTTCATGAAAAATATTTTCTTTTCGCTACACCAGACACACCAATATGTCTGAAGTAGTTCTTTTCTTTTATATATGTTTAAATGTTTAGAATTAAAGCACATTTATATCCTGGGTGCTGGAATTGTAAGGAAAAATTCATCTGTTTTTAATATTCGGTTAAACATGACAGGGAGGCCTGTTGTAAGATCTCTTGGTGATTCCCTTTATTCTACTGTTAATCAAGTTGGCTGTCACAGTCGCTATGAGAAGATTGGCAAAGTAAAACTAGCTCAGGACCTAGCCGGTTTGGTTCAAGAATGTTCGGACCTGGAGAAGAATAATAATCCCAAAGTATCTAAAAACTTGGTGCCTATGGTTGAGAAGTCAATCGATGTTGAGGATAAGAAACATGGAGTGTCGTTGGCGCAGAACTTAGCCAGCTTGGTGGAAGAGTCTTATAATCTTGATGAAAGTAAACTCGTGAATCGGGTGGAGCATAAAAGATTACTTGAAGTACGCATAAAAAAAAGAGTTAAGGAACAGTATGTAAATGGGAAGTTTCAGAACCTCATAAAGAAAGTGATTGCCAATCCAAAAACACTTCGTGATGCTTTTGATAGTATGCGGTTGAGTTCCAATGTGGATCTAGCATCGGATAGTGAGAATTTGCCTTTTGAAGCCATGGCTGAAGAGCTTTCTTGTGGGAATTTTGATGTGAGTGCTAACACATATTCAATCTCATCAAGGGGCTCAAAGAAAGAAGTCCTTGTTTTTCCAAATGTTAAACTCAAAGTTGTTGAGGAAGCAATCAGAATAGTAATAGAAGTTGTCTACCGACCTCACTTTTCGAAGATATCACATGGTTGCCGTAGTGGAAGGAACCATTTATCTGCTCTTAAATACATTCGCAAAGAGATAATTAATCCCAAGTGGTGGTTCACCCTGCCAGTTTGCAAAAAGCTTGACGATTGTATCCTAGCTAAGCTCTTTACAGTCATGGAAGATAAGATAGATGATCCTTTCCTATATGCACTACTGTCTAGTATGTTTGACTGTGGGGTAATGAATTTAGAATTTGGGGGTTTTCCAAAAGGACATGGTCTCCCACAAGAAGGAGTGTTGTCTCCAATTTTGATGAACATATATCTTGACCTTTTTGACCATGAAATGTACAGGTTGTCAATGAGATATGAAGCTATTGATAAAGGATCAAGCGCTGAAGAAGGTATGACCAACTCCATGCTACGCAGTTGGTTTAGGAGACAGATATCTGGTAATGGTTCTCAAGAATGCAATGATATGGGCAACTCTGGAATTAGGGTGCATTGTTGTCGCTTCATGGATGAGATTCTTATTGCCATCTCTGGTCCCAAAGAGGTGGCTGTTGCCATTAAGTCTGAAACTGAAAATTACTTTAAAAATTCTCTTCATTTAGAATTTGAAAATGAAATAGATGTTTTTCCATGTGATGGGCCTACTGGCATTCGCTTTTCGGGCAGCGTGGTTAAAAGAAGCCTGAAAGAGAGTCCAGCTGTAAAGGCTGTTCACAAATTGAAGGAAAAGGTAAAATTATTTGCTTTGCAGAAAGAGCACTCGTGGGATATCGGGACAGCAAGAATTGGCAAGAAATGGCTGGCTCATGGGCTGAAGAAGGTAAAAGAATCAGAGATTAAGCATCTCTCTGATGGTAGCTCCCTTTTGAGCCGAATCTCGTGTTTTAGAAAAGATGGGATGGAAACTGATCATTGGTACAAAGTCTTGCTAAAAGTTTGGATGCAAAATAAAAATGTTAACTGTGAAAAGAATGAGGATGATATCTTATCTAAGCATATCGTTGAACCAGCTCTCCCTCAAGATCTAAGAGATTCGTACTATGAGTTTCAAAAGCGTGTTCAGGAATATATATCTTCTGAGACAGCTTCAACTCTTGAACTGTTGCCAAACTCCAACTCTTCAACATTAGTGACACAGATCCTAGCTCCAATCAGCATCATAAAGAAGCGTCTTTTTCGATATGGATTGGCAAACTCTGAAGGATATCCCCGTCCATGTCATCTACTAGTTTTTTGGGACGACAATGAAATCATTGACTGGTATTCAGGTTTAATTTGCCGGTGGCTGAGATGGTACATTGAGTGTGACAACTTTAATGAGGTAAAGCTCATTATTTGCAATCAAGTAAGGATGTCTTGCATCAGAACTCTGGCAATAAAGTATAGGATACATGAGACTGAGATAGAGAAGAAATTCGATTTTGAATTAAGCAGAATACCTGCAACTGAAGATATTGAGCTTGATATAACCAATGAAGCAACAAATTCTGAAGGTTTTGATGATGATGCCTTAATGTATGGAATAACATACAGTGGAATATGTTTATTTTCTTTAGCAAGAATGGTCAGTCTGTCACGTCCTTGCAATTGCTTTGTTATAGGATGCACGGCTGCAGCTCCTCGTGTGTACACTCTTCATGTGATGGAAAGACAAAGATTCCCTGGTTGGAAGACTGGATTTGCTAGTTGCATCCATCCTAGTTTACATGGAAGGCGACTTGGGTTGTGTAAACATCATCTGAAGGATCTTCTTCTCGGGCACATTTCGCTTCAATCTATTAATTTCGGTGCTTGGAGATGAAACAACTTTCCCTGCTGCTGAGTGGTAAATCTATTGCATAGATGGATTGGAGAAGACAGAAAGATGGAGAAACCATGCAATCTTTTTCAAGTTCTGGTTTTGTTGTCTATCTGTGATTAAAGTAATCCATCATTATCATGGGAGTCTGAAACGTTTTGACTTCGGAAATGTGGAGATCATGTCTTCAAATTCGCTGCGGCAAATCATGCTAAAAGCTCAAAGTTTCTTAGGTAGCTGCTTTGAAGATTCTATGGAAGTTGTATGCAACAGCCTGATACTGAAAAAGTGAGATAGTCCAAAGAAACTCATGTGAAGGTAAATTTAGTCTGTTACATTATTTTCTTGTGTTTCCACTTTCTAGATCTATATTTCTCAAACTTTCGCTGACCTGGATATTTTGGAAACTGTGAGAAATGTATAGTTGGCAGAAAAAAAAAATTCTTAAGACTTCCAATTACAATTTGTTTCAGCTTAAGTAATTATAATTCGTTTAAAAGTTGTATTACTGCAAGATAAGGTTTTCCTTATTGATTTTGGTTCCTTTTTGGATAGCTTCCAATTCATTATCAATAAATCAAACAAAGATCTTTCTGCATCTCTTTTTTTTAATTGTGTGATCAATTTTAACCTTATGCTCTGATGCGAAGGAATTTGGGAAGTTAAAATTGTTGACCAAGAAACATTCCCGTTATATATACCTGAGTTCTGTCCTCCATAGCACTTTCCATTTCTCCAATCTGCCAGTGGGAAGTCTGCATGTTTGTCATCTATTTTAATTGAGGAGACTTAGGGGACTGCTGCAATGTAATTGTGGTTTTCTGACTTAGAAATCTTCTCTTGTAGGTCATCCATCTTGATAGGACGGTATAATCTCACTTCAAATGAAAGACTCAAGGAATGCTTCTAAAAATTAACAATAGAAAAAAAGGGGATGCCTCTAACACTTGTGATTCTCCAGTGGTAATGAAAAGGAACTTAAGTACTAAGAGTGTTTCTATTTATGATTTTGGTTATTGCTTAAAGTGATATGTTAGACGACACAAATCTAATTTTGACTAGTCTTATTTATTTATTTTTTTTAGGTTTTTTACAACTTAATTTTAAATTTTTGGTATCATGTTCTCGTATTAAGTATATTGGTGACCAGAACTTGGGGCAAATCCAGATTTTCTTGCAAACAAAAAAGATGGCGAATCTGATTGGGATTGATTCTATTTACCTAAACGAAGATAATGACTGGTTGATGGTTGATGGTTGATGGTTGATAAACTCATGTAAACAATACGGATAGTACATTTTGCATATCAGTGCTATTCAAGAAGATTTCTTCCACCAGTCTAGAATTGGAAATTGACAAGTGGATCATAAGTTCTCAAGTGTGTGAATTCGACTGTCTCAAAGATTTCCTTATTTCTGTAATTTTAGAATTTCTCCTTGTGCATGCCAATGAAAGTTCATAAACCTCTCTATGCCGGGCAAGTTGAATCAAGTCCACGAAGATTTGTAAATCGTCTTTCAGAATTACCTATTTTTCCTGAAAATGTCATTCTTTTTCTTGTTCTCAAAAGCTAACTATATATCAAATGGGCATTTGAAGGAAGAAATGTCAGTTAGTGGATTGTTTCATATATATGTTATATCTATCTTTAATAGTTCATATCATATTCATCCTTCGCTCCATACGCTTCTAACAGAGACTAACATTACATAGAGTGCAGGGACATGTAGGTAAAAGGTAGTGCGGCAGGCAGCGTGATTAGACTAAAGCATCAGCCAGTTTCACTATGGTGTTACAATACCCCGTCTCTTCCCACTAGTGGAATGCTATTTTCTGAACTCTATGAAGCTCTATGAGGTAATATCTCCTGTCTTCTTTATGCAACTTTTTCTGATATTGTCTAGTAAATTTTCTTGTTAGAATTATCTAATGATCTACAGTAATTCTTTGAATCATACAAATGGCTGCTTGTGGTTATATTACTGGGAAGTTCAATGTTATTGCTGGACTTGAAATAAATGTTTAAGCACTGGCAACTTGATAAGAGAGCCAGCTTGGTCATGATGTCATTCTACATAAACCAGAACCATGTTTTAATTTTTTTCTTCTGAATGCAAACAAAGAATTTTTCTGTGTAGCATAGGTTCGTAGGTCTGAGAATTACTCTGTTGGACTTTCTTTGTGCAAAGAGGAACGCCCCTAGTGGCTGCCAAAACTTGAACTCCATTATAGAGATTTCAGTCTCACTTATCAAAATCGTGTCTATTGCTATCAAACCCTCAAGCAATTAAATTTTTCTTGCTGGCAATCTGATACTCCTTTTACCCCCCCCCCCCCCCCTTTCAATGTTGAAGGGAAATACAAGTGCCATCTGATCTTTGTAATCCAGAAAATGTTTGACATTACCTTATTGGATTCGCCTTCTCTAAGTCTTTTTTCAGGTCATCAGGCTGATACAAATGCAAAGGCGGCCTCTTTATTGGAGGTTATTGCAAGCCAGAGGCTCATTGCTACCACCGAAAGAGACGCCAAATGCGTTAACTTAAAGATCGGAGTACCCAGCAAAACATGTCTGATAGCTTTTTCTTTCCTTGGTTGAAATTCAGAACAAGGCAGGTAAATGAATCACAATGTAATCCGGACATAAATATCTCTCAAACTTACGCGAGGCCCAAGACATCATAGTGCGTTCAGGGTCCTGGCCAATCCCATTTACCAACCTATCCTGTAACATATTCGTATGCTCAAGCATTAAGGTCCACTTCTCTTGAGCGCCCCTGCTACGGCCTTGTTCTATTCCTCTTTACTAATGAAGATCTCGCTCCTACACTTTATGCTGCAACTGGGAGGCTTTTATGCTTCAAGAGGATCATTTGTATGACAAAGTACATAATCATGGGGATGAAGTTGGTTCTCAAGAAGGGCGTGAATTGATTCAAGAAATAGAGAAAGATGTTATTGACCAAACATTATGTGGATCAAGTGGTGGATTGTTTTTGTGAAGATGGTCTACAGATGCAACTCAAAAAAGGTTGATGAAATATTAATGGACTAGAATTGTATACTTCATATCATATTTTGGTATCTTTTGAGATAAAGTTTTGAAGAAAAGCAAGAAAGCCACTACCATAGGATTCTTTTGATTTTTCAATTTAGTTTACAACTTTTTTTGTATCACTATAAGTAGCTTTTAAGCTCAAATTACTCAGATTAATTTTGCCTCATATATTTATAAAGAGGTTAATTTTTTCCTGTCTGACACTTGGTAAAATATACTATTACTAAGTTTGTTTGTTATAAAATATGTTCTTGCCGTTAAAAAAAGGTCTAAAAGGTTTGCAATAAGTGGATATATCGGATAATATTTTACTGGTGTATACACCTTAATTCAGAATTGAATGTTAACTAAAACCAAGACATTCACCACACCCTATCCAACCTCCATAATAGAGTAGCAGAAACATTGTAAATGCCTGCCATCGTCAATATAAAATGGTTCCTAATTGTGAAGGATGATTGTCTAGTTTCATTTTTACATCAAGTCATAGGATTAGTCAGTCTCCTCGTGAGGTGAAATGAAGACTATCTTCAGCACAACACACTACATATTTCATGGTATACGTGGTGATAGAGAAGCAATATACACGATACTTATACATGGTCTACAATCTACACAATCACCACAGTTTTTCAAGCAATTATGATTGATGGACTTTAAACAAAGCTTGGTAGACCAAGTCGATAAACTGATTGTCCTGCAATGAGAATTTAGAAAATGATCAATTTCCTACAATAACCGAAAATTCAGAAAATGATCAATTTCCTATAATAATAGACAATTCAGAAAACATCCTGTGTGAGCTGTTTCAAACTACTAAAAGCTGTCATGATTATCAAATCGATGAAACATCAATGTTACATCTCTATACATCAATATGTTGCATCTCCATGACCTGAACATGTGTTGCAACATATGGTGCACTTGCAGTGGAAAGCACTTAAACTATCTTAGAAATTTGTAGATTCCTACGTATTATTCATCCCAACCATTCCCGAAGGTGGGGCTCTCAAACATTTTTCACTATTGTCAAGTTACAGGTCAAGCTTGAAATTAAGTGTAAAATAAATCTAATTTAAAATGAGAATCTGAACTTAGTGAGACTCTTTAAAGAGAAACTTCTCATAGCATCTACACATTGAAAAAGAAATTGCACATGTGAAAAAATATGAAGCCAATACCAAAAATTAATTTGACCGGGGATCTTAAGAAACTAAGCATACAAACTGATGCATATGCACTGCAGGAGGGCTCTTTATCAGGAATAGTTAAAATTTTAAACTAGCCACCTAGGATGAAACTTCTACAATATAACGGATAGCTTTTAACTATTATACCGATGGTTCTAGTACATCTTATTAAATAAGACCTTAGAGCTAGCATGTGCAATTTAAACTGAGTCACTTACCAAGATCCTTTGATTGTGCACACAAGTCATATTGAAGTTAAAAATGTTGAACCCTCCAATTCTCAATGTGTTTGCAAGAAAGTGGTTTTGGTAGATATGCCAAGACCACAAATTTATGGATAAACTCAATGTGTTTGCAAGAAAGCAGTTTGATAGATATGCCAAGCCCACAAATTTATGGATAAAATGACCAAGATTTATGCAGTTGAACAAAACTCAAATACTGTTCAAGTACACAAATGCATTCAGCAATGATAATATGCAATTAATTAACACAGTAATAGTCACCTGGATGACGAGATATACCTGAACAAGCATTAGCAGTGCGTCATGAACTTTCTCTCTGCTCAGTGGTCCACTATTTGGAGGAATCTGAGTAGAAGTGAGAAATGGAGGTGGTGTAGGTGGTGGAAAGGGTTGAACTAGAGGTGTGCCATGTCGGGGTTGTGGATCCACAGGAGGATAAGGAGCAGGAGTTAATATAGCTGAAGAGACAGGAGTTGTCACCAATACAGGTGATGCAGGAGGTGTAAAGAAAGAAGGCTTCACAAGATTTGCAGGGTGATTGGTATTATTGATTTGGTTAGCAGAATCACGGGGCAACTGTGTAGGAAGTGATGGAGCTGACTGAACAGGTAATGAGACTTGCAAAGTTGGAGCAGGAGATGGTAGGAGAGTTGGAACTTGGGGTGATAGATCAACAGTTTGAGCTGGAGAATGATATGGCTGTCCAGAGTTCACAACATTTGAAGAGGTATGCCCACTACTTGCAGCAGTCTGCAACACAAAATACAATCTCAGGCCTTTAACATCCCAAGGATGAGGGGCAGTGGGGGAAGATTGCCCAATACTTTAAAGTCAATGTTTTACTCCAGAAGAAGTCATTCTCATTGATCTTCCATATGCATTCATCTACTAATGCAACCTCACTCATATTTTGAAGAAAAAGGTGCATTTTTACATCCCCCTAACTAGGATCCGAAAAAAGCCAGCTTAATATATAACCTCATTTTCTTCAAAGGCATATAGCTACAGCTGCTAGTCCCAAGTGAAGCCATCTCCAACAATTTCAGTTAGCAACAGACATAAATTCTTAGATTCTGGGAATTTGATATTCCTCGCGGATCCAGATTCTCATATTATGATCTCCTAGTATTCTACATTTCCGTACATTTGGTATCATCATTAGTCAACCCTCTTTTGAAAATAAATGTTTTCTGCAAATTCCCGGAATAGAACATTGTCCCTCATGATTTTTTCGGCAAGGGGTGCACATGCATCAAATTACCCAACGGAATGCATGAAAAAGTGAGCCTCATTTTGACATGTATCCAGGGTAATGTATGGTCTCTGTAAAGCGTAAATGATTCATAGAATATGCATCCATTATAAGTTGGTACAACTTTCATGTAGATTAGGTATAGAACAAAATCTTCAACCAAGGAAATCTCAGGCGATGATGGTTTTAAGAAAACGTACAAGGGCCAACATTCTTTCGCTGCAAGAATTGAGTGACTAGAGAAGCAAATAGGTAGAAATATTGGAAGTTCATGAAGATATGCTAAAGTTTTAAACGTGACAGTTTTAGATGTTAGACGGGAAATTCTACATCAAGATCATTAAGAAAGTTTAGTACATACATTGAAGAAGTTCATAAAGGAAGAATCATCAGCACCATCCCCAATGGTTGAGGTGGTAAATGCTTGTCCAAATGGCCCTTCTATTACTGTACTCATCGGGACCGCTTCATGTTCTGTAAACTCACTGCACTTGAAGACATCAGGAGATTTAAAAATTAGAGTAATTAACAAAACCACATCAAAGAAGGGGAGAAAATCAAGAAGAATAACAGAAACTCTAATAGCTGAAGTGCAACAAACATTGACTTAGTCGTCACTTATGGACAAATATACTGACAAGGGAAATATGACAATGAAAACAAGATAACAAAGTCATAACTGATGCTTCTATTTCCTCTTTTGCTCTGTAAGTGCCTATGTTTAAGTTGGATCATCATGGTCTATGAAAAAAAATAAATGGAAGATTAACTCTAGGAAAGTAAGAAGCTCAGGTTCTATTAGACGTGCTCTCAACAAGCAAAAAAGTGGCAGAGATTTGAGGGCTTTGGAAGCTTTTTAGGTGTCTCATGGAGGCCAGACGAGGAAACTGCAAAGGCACTGATATTTGCAAATTCAAAAGGGAAGCAAGAGAATAGCAAACCAAGTGACGATAAATCACCAAAAAGAAAGAAGGGAAGATAACAGACAAGTGGACGAACTTTGAAAGTAGGAAGGCGGCATCAATTATAATGCCAAAGAGGGTAATGGAAAGTTAAACACGCCAAAAAGATGGAAGCAAAATCGTTTATTTACCTGTTGTTTGATAGTGGATAGGAGGTAATTTGGGCTTTTGCTCGGATGTCAGGGGTAAATAGGTTACTGATAGGAGTTAATAATGTATTCCAGCTGTATACTGGTCAAACCCCACATAAGTTCAGCATAATTAAACAAATCATTTGTTTGCCAAAAATTAATGACGAAATTGGACTATTTGCTAGAGATTGATGTGCCTAACCTTGGGACATCAGGCTACCCAAGTCATTAAACAACAGCTCCTAGAACATTCTACTCTTTTGTTTATGATGTAAATTTTCATTTCTTCTCTCATTAAAACGTCTTGTGTGCCAGCAATTAAGGTTTAAAGAAGCTTTATTATTCTAAGAAACTAGAGTATTTGCTAGAGCTCAACGTACCAGGATTGAATATGGTGTTAAATTCCTTAAAAACGAACCCCCTAGAATATTCTTCTTTTTCTTTCATGAAGTAGATTTTCATCTCTTTCTTCCTCTCATTAAAGCCTATGAATGCCTGCTAACAAGTTCGCATATGAAATTTTCACTTCGTGGACAAATTATTCAGGATAATACTGGAGAAGGGTCATCAAAGCAATATGGTCTCCTCAATACATGGACCACCAAATCACCATCCTCTCCCCACGGTTTCGGAGTATGGAAACACATTAGATCCTACTCGGAAGTAATCAATACAAACACATCCTTTCATGTTGGAGATAGGAGAAGAATTTACTTCTAGCAGGATTCATGGTTGAACCAGCCCATTAAAAGACTCCTTCCCAGAAATCCTCTTTTTTTTTTTTTTTTTGTGTGTGATCAAGTTATAAGATTTTATAAACAATGGGCAAAAGAATCACCCGTATTCAAGAAGCAACCAAAAGGTAGAAAACCTTACAAAATGATATGGTTTTCTAAGAACGACACCCAATCTTCTATAATCTATACCTAAACTCCTCAGCTTTGTAAGTAACCCATTAGCTCTTTTATGTGATTAGAACAACCAGGGATGGGACATCATTTTTAGAAGAAATTGCGATAACTGAGAGTTAGAAAAAGTGCTTGGCTTGCTAAACAAGCTGAACAATCTGCCTGAACCACAGAGTTCCCCAGACAGTCTGATTTGGAAGGTCAAGCTAATGGAAAATTTTCAATCAGATCATACTATTACATCCTAACTCACCCCACCACCCCTTCACATCTCTGGCCATGGAAAAAAATCTGGAAAAGCTTTGCCCCTTCTAAAGTGGATCCTGGTTGGTCACAAAGGGAGCAAGCCCGCCTTAACAAAATCTGCAGAAAAGAGCCATATACTTATGCAATACATGTGCACTATGTGAAGAGCAAATTGAACACACAAATCACTTGGTTCTATTTTGCAGCGACTTGGAATATGAATTTCAGTAATTCGGAGCTTCACTAGTCCATTCCTAAAAACACAAAGGAATTTCTTCAATGCTAGTAAAAGAAAGGGCTCACCAAAAGCTCAACCAAAGTGTGGAACACCATCCCAGCTGCATGTTGGTGGATTATTTAGAGGGAAAGGAACAGGAGAGTTTTTTAGAATCGAAAGAAGAATATAAGTAGCTTGAAGTATATTAGAGCTTCTTTGTAAGATGGTGTGATACGGCTAATGTAAATGGCCATGCTTGACTTTCTTTATTCATCACGCAAACTACAAGTAACTACTTGATGCATCCGTCCCAGCATTCCCTTTATGCTAAGCTTACATTTTAATAGAAATTAACTTATCCAAAAAAAAAATGAAGGGATTGTAAAAAGGTGAATAACAATCATTGGATTGTATAATGTGTAGTTCATCGTATTAAAATCTACTTATGTGGTGTATCATATAACATATGGGTTTGGTTTTAAATTGGATAAGGATTTGTTTCCAATAATATTCTCTGTCTATAGTAAATCACTTTACCCAATTTGATGTTGGTTTTATTAACGGATTAAAAATAACTGAAATATACATTTTAAAAGAATGGTATGATAGATGAATATGTAACATATTGGAGAAAAATAGGATGGTTGTAGTGGAGGAGTCCTACAAGTATGAAATACGACATGAATATACCTACCAACGTGAAAAAGTTCTATAGAATAATTCTAATACCAATAAGGTTAAATAGAACTAGAAGTGAATGTTGGGTCTTTTTTTGATAAGGTGAAGTATTATTATTAATAAACGTGTACCAAGAAGGTGCACAAGAGTACAAACAGAGCAGACAGCACCTACAGAGAGCACTCTATTACATCTTTCCCAACAAGTGAATGCTGGGTCTTAACATATCCACAAAAATGCGTGCTGTCAAAATACGGATGTTAGGAAAGATGTTTCATCATACAAAGCTAGACGAAATTAGAAATAATCACATTATGCAGAGGGTGTAAGTGGCATTACATAAAGCATAAAATGAGAGGTTGTCGGAGATGGTAGGATTATATCTTACATAGACCTCCAAATTAACCAATCCATTGGCGTGATGCTATGACGGTGAAAGGTGCTAAAAAGAGACAAAGTACACATACATTCACGTGGAAGTCTTTGAAAACCTACAATCTTTTGAAATCCAAGCGGATTCGGCTAGAGCATAACACAATGCTATGATGGTCGGAGGTACTACTATGTATATATTGTTATTCCAGTATTCCACATAACACAATACAGTGATGATCACATAGGAACCATCAATCAACAATCAAAATTTTGCACAAAGATTATTTTCTTAGAACAAACAGCCTTAAAGTACTTATCTTCTATCATGCTGCAATAATTAAACAGTTTCTTATGATGTACTAGGGTTGTAGGTTAGGAGGTAGTTGAGTCTTGCTTACTTCGTACCTTTGTGAGACTAGTCTGGTAGGGTTTTTGTCTAAGATAGCTAGTGGCAATGTTGTGTCTTACTATTTCACTTTTCAGTGCAGGACCTATTTACTAGCTATCGCTTTTGCTTTGCATCTTTCTTCTGGATTTCATGTTGTTCCTATTTTTCCTATTATTTCTGTGGTGATACTAATATTGTCTCCTTTTGTCTTTTTGTTTTCTTGAGCCGAGGGTCCTTCGGAAACAGCATCTCTACTCCTTCGGGGTAGGGGTAAGGTCTGCGTACACACTACCTTCCTCAGACCGCACTAGTGGGATTTTACTGGGTTGTTGTTGTTGTTGTTGTTGTTCTTGTTGTTGTACGTTTCTTTTAATCAGGAGTTTCTTATGATGTACTAAAACATGGAAGAGTTATAGCGTCACCAGAAATGAGAATATCCATGAGTAATTACATATAACTTGTGGTTACTGTAAAGAAATTGCTTGACAAACATCTCAATATCCAAAATAAGAACAAGGGGAAGAATCAATGACTCCGCACCTTTTTCTTAACTGTGGCTTCAAGGGAACCTTTGAGTATGCACCTAAAATTCTGGAAACCACCATACCAAAGTAAAATTATACGAGTTGCAGATTATGCGCCATGAATATGTAAGAAAAATTACCCAATTACTTCACATACCCTGCACCACTAAAACAAACTAGCAATAAATAGTCTCTGATGCCATTTCCATCACCAGATATAGCACACAGACCAAACTGGTTTTTCTATCTGATTGATGTCATTTCCATCATGTAACACGAAGACTAAATGGATTCAATACAATTTAGACACCTCCACTAACAGAAAGTCAGAGTTGTACAAAAACTGGAAGCATAATCGTCGGGCTAAAATAAATCTGATGTTATTGAAATCACATATTTAAAGCCTAAACAAGCTTTAACTAAACAAGCTCCAAAAGTTGAAATTTTTCATTTATAAGAGCCTTCAACTTAATGCCTTTTGATAGAAGAACCTTATCATGTTTATCTCTACCGAAGAAAAGCCAAACAAGCTTCCAGTTTAAACATAAATTCCAGATTGCTATCAGCCTGACAATTATAACATGCAACCACAAGTAATTATAAGTACAAGGATAATAACCAGCCCTTAAAATTTTCTCTGAGTAGTTTATTCACTTATTTGTTTCCTCTTTATCATATGAGAAACGTCTATAAGGATCATATATATCAGTTGGTGCTATATGTGTGTATGTTCGGGAGAAGATGTGGATCACCTCTTAAGCATTGTTAAGTAGCTACACACTTGTGGTGGGAGGTTATGAATTGGTTCGGAATACAATGGGTAATGCCGAGCACAGTAAAGGAGGCACTATACAAACGGGCCTTTAGAAGAAGCAAGAGAAGACGCAGGGCATGGGATGTCACCACTAACTCTTATGTGGGTAATATGGAACAGAGGAATAGGAGAGCATTTCAAAGGGCCGAGAAAGATTTTGTACTATGTGAGGAGTAGCCTCGTGGGTCTAGTTTCGTTTTGGTGCACCCATAAGGTTTTTGTATGTATAGATGACAGCATCACATCGGTACAGAACCATATTTTGGTGTAGGTCTCTTTACTTTGTAGTACACTTCTTGTATACGGGGATTTCCCCAACATTAGTAAAACTAGTTACCTTATCAAGAAATGTCTACAAAATTCGCCACCATAACAGTTGCTTTATGTTGTTTACCGAGAACCATAAATTAATCTACAAGAATGTGTTTTCCAACATCATAGATCTCCACTGCAATAATCTCAACTTTCATCTACAAGTATACAGTTTTTGATAGCAAAGAGATAAGCTCCACTCATAAATAAATCATACAGCTTGGGGTATAAAGACTGAAGAAGATGCCAACCTGCCAAACAGATCTGCAACCTCCTCACATTCATGTGCATTATAGAACCAGATACCATTGACTTCTTGGGCTGCATTGCGATACAACAGATATGGAACTTGAACCTCAAACTCAAAGTCTCCCAAGAGATCTTCCACCATATTTTCTGCTTCATATAAAACAGGAAAGAACAAGAAACAAATATCACAAAATATTCTAATATTCACAAGGCCAATAGAGGAAATATTTTTTATATTAAGTTTTGTCTCAGAATCATGACCACCAAATCGAGAAGTGTAAACTTAGATGTCAAAAAAAAAATATTCATAAGAAGCACTACTTTCAAAAATCATAAAATGAACAAAGTAAAAAATAAAGAATTCTAAAGGTTCTCCCCTATGAATTTGAAAAAGAGAGGCCCCGCACAATATTATTGGAAGAAGAAATGGGATTATACCTGTATTCCTCCGGTTCATAACAATAAACTGGAACCTTGGTTGAGAATTCCTAAAACAACATAACCAACAACAATGATATCTGGTAATCCAACCTCCTTATAGGCACACAATCCATCAAAAACCATCAGGATCCCATATTATAACATGGAAAAGAACCTATAAAGCCAAGGAAAACCATCTAGTAATTATATGATATCTGCACAGTGTTAACAGTTTCTGACAAGCTGAATCAGATACAAATTTTTTCACAAGGTACCAGAAATTTCTTTATAAATCTTAAAACATAAAAATAGGCTGCTGTGATCTGAGAACTGAACCAGTTTGACTCACAGGGGAGGGGGGGGGGGGCAAGCCTAACCAACCGACCTCCATCCCATGAGGGGAATCTAGTCGGTGAGCCACACAGTACAAGGTCCATGGGCAGCCTAAATTTTACACATATTTTATTGCTCTGTTATTAGAAATTACAAGGATGTTCCTTATTTATTTGGAGGACAACTAGGTCAACTTCCAAGCAAAATAAACCCACTAAACCCTTTTAGGTTAGATGCACTTGCTTTGGTATCTAAGCAAGTTAATGATATGAATTCAAGTCCCAACCCCTTAAACACTTTTCATGTTTCATTAATTTCTTACAATTATCCCATCTCTTTCTTGAATTATTTTTTATTTATAATCATCTACTTTCCATTTAAGTATGTGATTCTTTAATTGCATTTTGTAGTAAAAGAAAGGGGTACAAGACTACTTATCAAAAAAAGGGTTCTGAGACTAGACCCTCCTAAGGGGTAAGTGATCAGGTTCGAGCTGGTTCACCATTTACCAGGATCGATCATGAGCCCCTGAACTCCTAAATTTTGGGGCTAGATCAGTTCGGCCAGGCCACTTTTCCATGTATATGAATGTTCAATCTAGTATGAGAGCAGAAAATACCTGCTAAATCTGAAATAACATATAGAACAAAGCCAGACATAAACACTTCCTTATTAAACAGAAAACTTTAGTTACTTGTCATACTGCAAGCATACCTCTTAACTACAAAGAAAGAACCTTCAACCTCCTTGCGGCTCTGCAATCCAAATTAACCAATAAACAAGTTATTCTTTAAGACAACATTTCATGAAGACCAACAGACCAGATTGTAAATAGGCCTAAAGGCAGGAAGTGGGAGTACACAGCGCAATCCCTTAGAATATATTTTCCAAAACATCCAATTCACCACCTTTTCATCTGAATGATGTATATCATGAGAAATAGGTCCAAATAGAGCAAAATGTACCGTGAGATTTATAATGCCGATCCCTACTAGCTTGGGATAAGGCATACCTTAATTTCGGTGGTAAGTTTATTTCAGCAATTTCTAAACAAATGCACACATTAAAAATTGTACACCAAGACTTTCTATATCACACACAACTCAAGCAACATTTCGTACATACTGCAACACATGATAAGACGTGAGTTTGTGTAGCAGCAGCCAGATGCACCTTTGGTAGAGGCAGAGAACCGTAATTATGAAATTTATTCTTTCGAACGACCCCTGAGGTACTTTGTACAATCATATCCGTCAATGTACACAACAGAGAGATTAACATTTACTTAAATAAATCGCTCAAATATACAAATACCTACATAAAACAGAAACTCAATATTTTGCGGATATTAAAAAACAAATAACAACCTGTTGTAAATGATTTGATAGTGTAAAGATTTTTTACAAAGGGCATAAAACTTAAACTCATAGTAAATAACGAATTGTATATAAGTAAATGATATTTTCTGACCCATTGGTTAAGGTCGCCGTTGAAGTCGTACAAGGTGACATGAGCAGCGGTGAAGAGGATCTCCTCAATACACGCATCGATTCTCTGTAGGACAGTGAGGTTAAGCGTCTTCCTACTTCGGTCGTCCAGATGCGGCATTAACTTCGACATTTTCCTTCTAGAAACTGATTATAGAGAGAGAAACAGAGAATCTGATCGGAGAACGAAGTTGTAGAGAGAGAAAGGAAGAGTGAAGTAATGTCACAGTTGCTACCAAAGAAAAAAAAATTGCAAAAATACCAATGCTTCTTGTCAAAAATATTTTTCCCCTTCATAAATGGAGATCCTCAGAAGAAGTCTCATTTAATTAAAGCTTTTGGTGTACTGATTTTAAATGTCGTATTTGTAATTACGATTTTTAAGTCGTATTCGAATTTGGCAATTGACAGGTTCGATTTCTAATTGCAATCATAAATCGCAATATTTTATAAGTTTGGAAATAGTGAATGTAACTTAAATCGCAATTGATCAATTTATAATGTCACCTGTCATATAATTTCTATATCAAATAAATACTCATAACTCACATTAAATCAGATGTAGATATTCATTTTACGTCCGTATTTTTTATACTCGAAATAAAGTGTTCATACTAAAAGCGATAAGGACACATAGTTTCTTTACTCGTCTAATGTATAAACAAGAGCGACATGATAAATCTATCATTTGAAATGAGAAGCAATATCAATCTTGATCTTTAAATGTATCCATTTTTTAAAATGAATTCTGTGTTCCGATGCCTTAAAAATCTCTTTCAACATCACCTCGATTTGCGTGCACAGTCCGGGCGCGTAGCCGGAAAGCTATTATGTGAAAATCTGTGAAAAATGTTGAAATTTTGACTTAAAATGCATTTAAGTTGATTTCGGTCAACATTTTGAGTAAACGGACCCGGACCCACGATTTGACGGTCCCGGAGGGTCCGTGGAAAAATATGGGACTTGGGCGTATGCCCGGAATTGAATTCCGAGGTCCCAAACCCGAGAAATGAATTTTTAAAGAAAATTATTTTCTGGAAATTTTTATGAGTTTTGGAAATGAAATGCATTTAGAATTTGATGGTATCGGACCCGTATTCTGGTTCCGGAGCCCGGTACAGGTCTTATATGTGAAATAAGATGAGTCTGTGAAATTTGGTAAGAAACGGAAGTCGTTTGAGGTGATTCGGACCCGTAGTTGTGAAAATTCCTACTTTGAAAGTTTTGAGATTTTTCTTAGATTTCTATAGTAAATTTGTTGTTTAAGAGGTTATTTTGGCGATTTGATCGCACGAATAAGTTCATATGATGTTTTTGAGCTAGTATGCATGTTTGATTTGGAGCCCCGAGGGCTCGGGTGAGTTTCGGACGAGTTTCGGAAGGTTTTGAACTTAGGAAAAGTTGCAGGTTTTCAGTTTCTGGTGTTCTGGTATGTTGTTCTTCGCGTTCGCGGAAGGACTCTTGCGAACGCGAAGGGTTGTTGATACCCAATTTTTCCCTAAGTATTTTTTATACCCAAATATTTCCAAAATAGCATATTGGTGCATATATAATGTCATGGGCGGCTTTCCAGCCATGCTCCATGACCCCTTGGGCGCGCCCCGTGGCGTCCTAGCGAACCTCCCAATGCCTAGCGCCACGGACGGCCCCGTGGTCTTGGCCGCGCCAAGTGACAAGCGCGCAGGTGCCTCTGTCGCCCCACCGATATCCCTCGCGAGCGCCAAGCCGCAGGCAGAAGCCAACAGCGCCGCGCGCGCAGACCGTGATGCCAAAGACACTGCTGCTGACAACGGACCTGCTGCTGCCTTATAGAAAACTAAGTCATTTTCATTGTAAATATAGAGTAGTTTTATTTCATGTACTTCCATTATGTTTCTCTAGCTTAATCAAGTCTAGTCCTGTAACTTTGGATTATTTTTTTTAAGTACTATTAGGGGGGATCAAGCAATCAAAACTTTCTAGCAAGCAAGCAATTCTCTGTACTACACCGCGTTGCTTTTCTGTAATAGCTTTCATTAATGCAATCAAGCTTTCTTTCATTCTGAATTCTCATTTCTGTTCTCTCAATTGCTCTTGATATTGGTTTTCCCGTACGGCACTGACAATCTCGTCTAGCGTACGGAGGGGACCTCAGTTGACGGACAACAACTGCACTGACATCAGTTGCCTAGCCTTACGTTGCCCTTCCAAGGAATCTCAGGAAGGCGCCGCGTAACAATAAGCACACCTAAGAATTTTGGCATTTTAATGATTTTTAAAACCAATTTGTTGCCTATTTTAGTACAACAAAATCCAATAATTATTCCCAAAATTATCATTTTTGGCGAATAATTCATTTTATTCTCACATTTGCACCAAAATATAATTAAGGTAATTTTTGCATATTTTTACAAATTTGTTTGGTATTTTAAAAGCTAAATTGCATATAATTGCAATTATAGCATATCTTGTAATTTATAGCGTTTTATGTTTATAAAATTAATCCTAGTATTTTTAAATTAATTTAATATTCATTTACCCAATACTTTTAATTTGCTCTTAAAATATGTATTACTATTTTATAAAAAAAATTTAAAGGAAAAATTGGCTATTTACGATTTGGCCTCAATTGCATTTCAATTATAGCCAATTTGGCAACCCCAATTAACCCAATTTCAAAGTTCAAAATTACCCAGCCCAATTTCAAATTAACCCAACCCCTGACCCATTTATCCGATCCGCCCGGCTCCCATTCAATCTAGGCCGTTGATCTAAATGATCAACGGCCACCCTTCATTCTTTCCTTTTAATTTTACCAACCACACCCAACCCTAATCATTTCTTACCAAACGCCGCCCTTGAAACCCCTCGTCTCTGAAACGTTCTCTAATCTCACCTCAAACCCTAGCCGCCACCTCTCACTGAAACCCTAATCTATGGCTTCTCAGGCTCATCGGAGGCCTATACTGGCCTCTCATGGCTTCTGCGTGCTCATTTTCTAAAGGTCCTATGACCAGATCTTGAAGGGTTCCGACCAAGCCTTTGCTCGATGACTGTTCTCCGATCGTCTTCAACCTTTGTCCGGCCAGTCATGGCTATTCGAGTTTGACTTTCCTGCTCAAATCGATGGTTTCCAAAGCCTTTCTCATCATTTGGGTTTCCTACGAAACCTTAATCTCTAAGGTTCCTTCGATTTATTTCTAGATCTGCTCCGGATCTATGTGTGTGTGAACCTTCTATGCATTTTTCTCGAGTCTCTTTAATTTTTTTTGCTTTCAGAAACTCTTTATTCTTCAACTAGGGTTTCATGTTAAGTTATTTCGAATCTCTTCTCTGATTCTCGACATGTTTTACTGTGTTTTGTTTGTGTTGTATTTCTATTTGAGTTAGCATGTTGAAAACCCTAATTGTTGGGATCTTTGAGTTTCTTAGTCTGTTTGTTAATATTCATTTGATTTACCTTATTTTTATCTGAGTTAGCATGTTGAAAACCCTAATTTTGGGATTTTGTTTGAGTTTCTGTTTGTTAATATTCGCTTGATTTACCTTTCTTCTATATCTGAGTTAGCATAGTGAAACCCCTAATTTTTGGGGTTTATCCGAGACTCTGAATCTGTTTATTTGTTTATCTGCTTATCTCCTCTAAACTCGATTGATTTTCGAAAACCCTAGTTTCTTTGGGGACTATTCGATTTCTTTGAAATTGTTTGTGCAACTTGTCTATTGAAATTGCAATGTGCTTCAATTCTCTTTTCTTCATGTGACTCTTTTGGTTCTGAGTTCTTACTACCTATCAAACTCAACTATGGTTTCCACTCAACTCTTTGCATGCTTCTGATCTTCTTCTCTATTGTTAAACACTGAAACTTGACTATCATGCTTCGAATGTCTTCTTTTTAGTTACTACTACATGCTGTTATTTTGCCATAACTTGGCCTCACATGTCTATTACTTGTGCACTTCATTTATATACTGAGTCCCTTCTGTGATTGATTCTCAAACTCGTGATTGATTTTCAAAACTTTTCCTTTGTGAAATTCTGATTTTTACTCGCGTGTTAAGGGGTAATTGATTCTTTCTCTTTTTTTGGCCTTACCAGATCCTTTCCAAAAATAATTACATTCTTGTACTTGGACTTAAACACCTATTGTATGATTTTACTGCTCCTTTTATGGCAACAACCATTCTGCTTAAAGACTGATTTTCTTTCCTTATCTTGACCCTGTTAGTACCCGTTTGAACAATAATCCCTTGATTAAAGGGAAGTCTTGTGTTAATTGATTCTGACTTGTGATTGTTTCCATATTTGTGTTAAAACTTTACTTATTACCTTATTCTCCACTCGTTTTCAAAATTATAAATACCCTACCCTCTTTTCTTTAAAGACACGAACACACACGAACAACTTGAGTTCAAAATATACACACTTACTCTTAGAACTCTCTCTTTCTTTACTACTACTTGTGTTGTTGCTTTGCCTAGCCGGCTGAAAGTCAAGGCTAGACTGTGGACTTGTGTTTGCTTTACCTTTCTGCACTTTGCTTCTCTACTAGTATGTCCTAGTTAATTTTGAAGCCTCAACAACAATATGTTTTCTTTGATTACTCCAGTTTGTCATTCCTGTCTACTTCTACTCATGTTTCTGTAGTTGAAATATGTTACTGGCATGCTGTAATACGTTCCCTTGTAAATTAATGTTTATTTATTTATGCACCCTGTCAGTCACTTGTTATTTATTTGCTACCTTATGAATCCCAAACCCCCGTATCCCTTTATATGCTTTAAGTTATGGTTCAGAAACATGGCAATGTCTGAAATCATTGTCCATGGATATGAACTGGACCCCTTTGGGCCCTAAGCTTTGTCAATTTCCCATCCCCACTCCCTTATTGTGTGTGCTGAGTAACAACCTTGGCCTGCCAGTATTTCTAATTATTGTTCAGGCCATGGCTTGACCTCCAGTAGGTCTTTACTCTCTAAATGTTTGGCCAACAGGTTTGGTTAGGGGTGTGCCAGTCTACTTTATGGCTGGGCATGACCACCAGCCTGCCTGGGTATTCCCTATCCCATTTCACTTATTGCACTTGCACTATGCTCTTAGAACTTAGGTTCTTCCCCTTTTGTGTGAGCCTTGCCTTGGGAACCTTGAGCTCCCTCTGAACTTGGACACATAAGGGCTGGCCCTTCCACACTGCACAACTCAATTTTCTGATTAACATCTTGGGTGTATGCACTGCCTGGGGTTCCTGAAATCCCTTGGATCTCTGAAACACCCTAGATGAGATAAGGCTTGGAAATCTGGAACTCGGAAGTGGCTCAATCTCATATTATTAGGCCTCAAGTCTGGATT